CAGAGCAACACCGTCTCCATGCCCTGGACCTGCCTAGCAGCACCTGCAGCTGCTCTGCTTGCGACCATGTGGCGGGGTCCTCTCCAATGTTCCCTCTAAGCTGTGGGGTCTTGTGAGCAAAAATTCTATTTTGTGAGCTAATGGCATTAAAGATGTGAGTGAAGGATTTGGCTACTACTGCATAGATTAGTTTGCTCTGGAGCCCTCCTTCCTGAGCTCAGACGAAAATGTGTGAGCTGGAGGCTAAACATCTGTGAGCTAGCTCACACTAACTCAGCTTAGAGGGAACACTGGTCCTCTCGTATGGTTTCTTCCTTGGAATGCATATGGTGGAAGCGTTTGGTAACTATTTGGAAATCATTAGCTGTTGTAGATTTTTCCAGGCTGTACGACCGTGGTCTTGGCATTGTAGGACCTGACGTTTCTCCAGCAGCTGTGGCTGGCGTCCTCAGAGGTAATCCTCAGAGGAAAACCTACAACAGCTAATGAACTCCAGCCATGAAAGCCTTCGACAACACATTTGGAAATCAGTTGGGGTTTTTCAGGGCTCTTTTTGTAGAAAAAGCCCAGCAGGACCTCATTAGCATAATAGGCCACACCCAACAGCAGGAACTCATTAGCATATTGGGCCACACCCCTGACAGCACAGCTCATTAGCACATTAGGCCGCACCCCCATGTTACCAGAAGTGTGGTCATCCAGCCACACCCACCTTTTGCTTCTTATTCTGTTTACCTTGTTTGTTGTCAAAACCCAGGGGCTTTTTTTGTAGCAGGGACTCCTTTGCATGTTAGGCCACACACCCCTAATGTAGCCAATCCTAATGCGTTTCTGCTGTTGGGTGTGGCCTATTATGCTAATGAGTTCCTGCTGGGCGTGGCCAACTCAGGAGCCAGCCGGAACTCCGTTCCTGTGCATTCCAAAAAAAATTCCTGCCCAAAAATAGGGTTTTTTGGACATTTTTACTGAGGAAGAGGACACTGGAAGGGAATGAATGTAAAGAAGGAGAAAAGGCGTGGAGACCCACAAAATAAATCATCTGTGTTGGTTTGGCTACAGGAGGGCAGGGGGGCGACCTGATCTTAGGTCCTCCGGCAGTATTTGTGTGTGTGTGGCTCAGTGGCAGAGTCTCTGCTTTGCCTGCAGAAGGTTCCGGCTTTTGTCCCCAGCATCTCCACTCAGTGGATCTCAGGACCTATCTGTAGCCGACATCTTGCAATGCCAGATGGGAGAACAAGCGTGATGGCCCTGTGGTCTGGCGTCACGTACCCTTTTCCTCCATCTTGGGGCAGGGGTCCACCTGGAGGGTCCGTTCATCAGCAAGGAGAAGAGAGGGGCTCATCCTGTGCAGTGCCTTCGCACCTTTGAAAGGGAACCCTTCCAGGACCTGCTTGCTACCTACGGCTCCCTGGAGGGCGTCTGCATCGTCACCCTGGCGCCAGAGCTAAAGGGGAGCGGCGAAGTGATCCAGGAACTGACCAAGCGGGGCATCTGTGTGTCACTAGGTAACAGTCATGCTTGCATGGGGTGAGGTTTGGGGGCTCTTGCAACCAGGGCCCTTGAAGACTAATGCTGCCTTAACCGGAAGATGCCCGTAGTAACCATCCTAGGACACATCCAGAGTAGATTTGGTCCGGTGAGTGGAGTGCCAACCAGTTTTTGCAGACGTGTATATTTCTGGGCAGGCTTTCGTCCTCAATTGGTTTCCCTCAGATCCAGAAAACAGGATCCTGCCCTCCCAGAGTATTCTAGGCTTTTCAGTCTAGGCCAGCGGTGGCGAACCTATGGCACGCGTGCCAGAGGCGGCACTCAGAGCCTTCTCTGTGGTGGGCACGCGTGCCATTGCCCCAGCCAGGCCCAGACCACCATTAAAGTGTGGAATTCTCTGCCAAATAATTTTAAGGAAATGAAAGCATTTGGGATTGCTTTCCTTACTTTGTTTGGATCATCTTATGTTAACGTATGAGTTCTTTTTTCTAAACGAAAACCTCAGTATTCAGGTTAAATTGCCATGTTGGCACTTTGCGATCAATAAGTGGGTTTTGGGTCGCAGTTTGGGCATGCGGTCTCTAAAAGGTTCGCCATCACTGGTCTAGGCCATAGTAAAGGTAAAGGTTTCCCTTGCTCGAAAGCCAGTCGAATCCAACTCTAGGGTTGCGGTGCTCATCTCCGTTTCAAAGCCGAAGAGTCAGCGCTGTCCGAAGACGTTTCCGTGGTCACGTGGCCGGCATGACTAAACACCAAGGCGCACAGAACGCTGTTACCTTCCCACCAAAACGGTACCTATTTATCTACTTGCAGTTTCTTGCTTTCGAATTGCTAGGTTGGCAAGAGCTGGAACTAGAGACGGGAGCTCACTCCGCCATGCAGCACACTCGGGTCTCAAACTGCTGAACTACCGACCTTCCACAGCGTGCAGTTCAGCGTCTTAACCACTTGAGCCACCGCAGCTAGACGGTCTAGGCCATACCCATGGCTGATTAGGAAATGTTTCTAAATACTCAAATGTTTCCCTTTTGGAAATTTCAAACATGCAAATGAGGAAGAGGGGAGAGCGGGAGGGAACTGGGCTGCTAGCGGCCGATGTCACAGCGGTCCCTTCGCTCAGCATCAAGTGTGCCTTCTCCATGCTGTTTTTCTGTGGGGCATGTGGCATCTTGAGGGGGGATTGCTCCCGGTTGAAAAGTTGCATGTCCCCCAAATGCAGGTCTGTTATTCTTCACTTCTCTCTTGGCACCTGTCTCCTGAGTGGGCAGGCTCCGTTGCAGACCTCTGGACCATCCTTCTCTTAAAAAACAGGAGGGGTTCGTGCTTTCTCGCATTAGTGGCCTTAGCTGCTGGGTCCCTTTTCCTCAGTTCCGATATAAAAACGAGCAGCTGAGGTGCGTCAAGAAAGCCCTTTGGGCAGGGCTGTCCCCACCTCAGGGCTGCCAGGAGGAGATGGTTGGAAAGTCCCTTTTCAGTCTTTCCCTGGCCAAAGAGAAGCAGTTGAGGCCGCAGTGTTCCCTCTAAGCTGTGGAGTCCTGTGAGCAAAAATTCTACTCTGTGAGCTACTGGCATTAAAGTTGTGAGCGAGCTATTTGGCTACCACATAAATTAGTGTGCTCTGGAGCCCGTCCTTCCTGAGCTGAGACAAAAATGTGCGAGCCGGAGGCTAAAAAACTGTGTGCTAGCTCACACTAACTCAGCTTAGAGGGAACACTGGTTGAGGGGTGGGTGGGTCTTAGCAGGGGTCATTTTGTAGAAAAAGAGGTGCCGGAGCTCATTAGCATAACTCATTAGCATAACCTATTAGCATAACTTATATGCCACACCCCCTGACATCACCGGGAGTGTGTCAGAAGGCAACACCCACCGCTCAGGCTCCACTGGACTGTTTTGGATTGCTAGCTATTGGGGGGGACAGGACGTGCAGATCTGCCCTCACAGAGGAGGGAGAGCTTGTACCTGAATAAAACTTGGCCTTAAAGGTGCCACTGGACTGTTTTGGATTGCTATCTGGGGGGGGAGGCTCTGCAACTTACCTGGCTGCTTCTTGGTCCTTGTGACCCGGGGCTGCTGGGAGCAGGGGGCGGGGCTTGTTGCATGTGCCCGGCCCCTGGGCTTTTTACTGCCGGAGCTCCGCTCCTGTGCGCTCCTGCAGGAAATGACCCCTGGGTCTTAGTCAGTTGGGAAACTGGCTGAATTTGATGCCTCCGTGCCAGTCCTTTGCCCACGGAGAGCCTCTCAATATGTAGGTGGCCTCCCAGCCCACAGAAGGATCTGATGTCTTCATGTAGCTAGTCCTCTGTGTTCCTAGGTCACTCCATGGCCAATTTGTCTCAGGCTGAAGAAGCTGTTCGGCGAGGGGCGACCTTCATCACTCACCTCTTCAACGCCATGCTACCTGTAAGTAGTGTCAAGCCCAGCATCTTGCTCCACAGCCTGAATTCTGAGAATCTCCACTCCACCATTTTTTGTGTTCGTTTTAAAAAATGTAAGTTTCTAGTCCACATGGCTCCAAGACAAGATATATGGACAAAGCCTTCTGGATTCCCAGAAGGCAGTGCTACTGTTGGAGAGACAGGGTGTCTGGCAGTGTTCCCTCTAAGCCGAGTTAGTGTGAGCCAGCTCACGGTTTTTTAGCCTCCAGCCCACACATTTTTGTCTCAGCTCAGGAAGGATAGGGCTCCAGAGCAAACTGATTTATGCAGCAGCCAAGTCACTTGCTCACAACTGTAATGCCGGTTGCTCACAAAGTTGAATTTTTGCTCACAAGAATCCGCAGCTTAGAGGGAGCATTGGTGTCTGGGCCTTGGATAAGCGAGCTCCTTGCCTCTTCCTGTGGTCAGCAGAACACAGAATAAAGCACGCAAAACAAGGAAGCAACTGGGAACTGGTCTGATTTGGAATCAAAATTTCGGTGACCTTCACGCAGGATTAGCTCGCTGGTGCAGACTCTGTGCGACTATGAAGTTGCTGCGTTTTGATCGTATTTAGATGTTTGTTTTATCTCTACTGGGGAAACCCAGATCAGCTCGCAACAACATTCCCCTCTCCTCCATTTTGTCCTCACAACATCCCTGTGAGGTAGGTGAGGCTGAGAGTGACCGGCCCAAGGACACCCACAGGGCTTCTGTGGCAGGGTGGGGATTTGAACCCCTGTCTGCCAGATCCTGGTCCGACACTGTAACCACTGGGCAGTGCTGGCTCTCAGGGTAGATTAGAAGTAGTCAGGCCCTGCTGCTGCTTCCAGAGGGGAGAGAACGTGTTCCAGCCAAGCTGGGTAAGACCCACCCGCCCCGATACCTGCAGCGCTCCAGGGGAAGGACTGAGACTTGCCCTGCCAGAGATGTTTTATTTATTCAGGACCAGCTGGATTTAAGATAAAGCACGGCTCTTTTTGTAGCAGGAACTCCTTTGCCTATTAAGCGACACACCCCTAATGTAGCCAATCCTCCAAGAGCTTACAGTAGCTCCTGTAAGGAGAGCTCTGTAAGCTCTTGGAGGATTGGCTACATTAGGGGTGTGTGGCCTAATATGCAAAGGAGTTCCTGCTACAAAAAGAGCCCTGGGACACACCCCTAATGTAGCCAATCCTCCAAGAGTTTACAGTAGCTCCTGTAAGAAGAGCTCTGTAAGCTCTTGGAGGATTGGCTACATTAGGGGTGTGTGGCCTAATATGCAAAGGAGTTCCTGCTACAAAAAGAGCCCTGATTTTGTTGTATCATTGTGGCCTTGTGTGTCCCACAATATGGGTAAAATGTGGGGTAACACTCATCGAATAAGTATTCTCTAGCTTTTGGTCTGTTGGCAGCCATATGGATTCCTCCGGCTGTCTTCCCCCGCCACTCCCCTCCTCGTCTCCTGAGAGCCAGCTTGGTGTCATGGTTAAGAGCAGCGGACTCTGATCTGGAGAACCAAGCTTGATTCCCCCACTCCTCCTCCACATGGAGACTGCTGGGTGACTTTGGGCGAATCACAGTCAATGCTCCCTCCAAGCTGTGGAGTCTTGTGAAATTCTACTTTGTGAGCTACTGGCATTAAGGTTGTGAGCAAGCAAATTGGCTACTGCGTAAATTAGTTTGCTCTGGAGCCCTCCTTCCTGAGCCAAGACAAAAATGTGTGAGCCGGAGGCTAAAAAACGGTGAGCTAGCTCACACTAACTCAGCTTAGTGGGAACGCTGGTCACAGTTCTCTCAGAACTCTCTCAGCCCCACCTACCTCACAGGGTGTCTGTTGTGAGGAGGACCCTTCACTTGGAGTCTCAGAGCGGCTTACAAACTCCTTTCCCTTCCCCTCCCCACAACAGACACCCTGTGAGGTGGGTGGGGCTGAGAGAACTCTGACACAAACTGCTCTTTTTCAAGGACAGCTGTGCCAGAGCTTGTGACTGACCCAAGGTCACATCAGCAGGTGCAAGTGGAGGAGTGGGGAATCAAACCCGGTTCTCCCAGATTAGACTCCGCACACTTAACCACTCCACCAAACTGGCTCTGAAGGAGAGGAAGGGAAGGAGATTGTGAGCTGCTCTGACACTCCTTTGGGTAGTGAAGGGCGGGGTATAAAAACCAGCTGCTGCTGCTTCTTTGTTGTCCCATTTGGCTTGGCGCTACCCTTTGGGCCACAGTGTCGGACAACACTTTCTTTCTTTCTTTCACAGTTCCACCATCGAGATCCTGGGATTGTGGGGCTTCTCACAAGTGACCAAATCCCCCCAGCCCGGCAGGTTTTCTATGGCATGATATCAGACGGGATCCACACCAACCCTGCTGCTCTGCGGATCGCACATCGGGCCCACCCCAAAGGTGCGTCACCATTGGCACGGGGTTAGTTTATTCGGGGGGGGGGGTTATGCCACCTCTCCGAAGCACAGCTTGAGACAGCTCACTTGTTATTTGTGGTTCTTAGATGGATAATTCACAATGGTTTTTAGTGGTGTTTTTATAAGCCTCCTCAAGCAGGACTTCGGAGAGGTGTAAGAATCTCCAAAATAAAAATATTGTAAACCATAAAAACAACCACATGAATTATCAGTATAAAAACAAGCCAGGCCATAAAAACGAGCATGAAGCAAATCCACTGAGCCAGCTGCAGACGCTGCTGATACAATACTAATAATCTTTCAATTTATTAATCGCTCAATCCTGCAGAGCTTGCTGGCTCTGAGCGATTTACAGTTACTCATTCACGCGGGACTAACAATGATTTATGGGGTAAGGGAGAACAACATATATCTTTTTAAATCACACACATTCACAGTCGGCGAGGGTTTGCTCAGCTGCAGGGTCAGACGTATTCCGTCGGCATATTCACTTCGGCTTGGCTAGATGACGTCAGCTTCTCCAGGTCTTGCAGCGCCGCACTGCCACCGCCTGGCCGGAACGGCCCATTACAGGCTTCTCGGAGTTGAAGAGATTTTTTCTTAGGCTTTCAATCTCGTGAGCTGAGCAATGCTGAGCAACAGTCCTCAGATCAGGAGAAGACCACAGAACAGCTAACAAAACCCCTTAGATAAATGCCTGGGTCAGAAGACGTCTTTGGCCTGGTGCCTGAAAGATGGTAAGGCAGGTGGGGGCCGGGTCTCCCTCTTAAAAGGTTGCAGGGAGCCTTGTTGGGTCGGCACAGAGGGGCTGCACGAACGGGGAATGGATTTGTTGCTGGTTCAGACTGAGAGTTCCCAAACCAAAGGGGCAGAGGAAGACTCCTTTGTTTAGTGAGGGCGGCGCAGGGTGTCCAAAACGTTAAGGGCAGTGTGATGCAGTGGATAGAGTGTTGGGCTAGGATCTGGGGGACCCAGGTTCGAATCTTCACTCTACCATGGAAGGTTGCTGGGTGGCTTGGGCCAGTCACTCTCTCTCAGACAAACCTCCCTCGCAGGGTTGTTGTGAGGGTAAAATGGAGGAGGGGAGAGTGCTGCCATCCGCTTTGGATCCCCATTGGGGAGAAAAGTGTAGCACAACTGGAGTACATACATAAAAGATACAAAAAATTAATAAACAACCCTGTGAGGTGGCCTAGAGTGTCTGTCCAGTGTTCACCTGTGGATTTTCATGGCACCCTGAGGATCTAAACTATTTGGACACTCCACAAATTGAGGATCAACTCTGTATTTTTCTTCTGAGACCGAGGAGCGTGTGAGGCTGTCCCAGAGTTCTTTGCTGAGTTTCAGACAAAAGGTGTCATGAAAAGAAGAAGAAGGAGAAGAGATTGGATTTATACCCCACCCCTCACTTGGAGTCTCAGAGCAGCTTACAAACTCCTTTCCCTCCCCCTCCCCACAACAGACACCCTGTGAGGTGGGTGGGGCTGAGAGAACTCTGACACAAACTGCTCTTTTTCAAGGACAGCTGCGCCAGAGCTTGTGACGGACCCAAGGTCACATCAGCAGGTGCAAGTGGAGGAGTGGGGAATCAAACCGGGTTCTCCCAGATTAGAGTCCGCACACTTAACCACTACACCAAACTGGCTCTCCTACACCAAGCTTAGTCGGCTAATGTGGAGGTTAGGATGGCATTTCCCTGTGAAAAAAGGATCTCTGGCTGACCTGGTTTTCCAGAGGTGGGATCAGGAGGGAGGAGTCACTTGTGTGGCCAGAGTGGAGTGAACTAGAGCCGGCTGTGTCTCCTTTAGGGCTGGTCTTGGTCACGGACGCCATTGCTGGGATGGGTCTTGCTCCAGGCAGACACACGCTGGGCCAGCAGGTGGTTGAGATGGATGGGCTCAACTCTTACATTGCAGGTGAGTGCCCCGTGATGTTTAATTTTATCGACATCCCAGTTTTCAGGGGGGGAGGAGTCTCTTGCATCAATTAAAATTCAATACACAGTCCTGGTGACCAGCATGGTATGTAAATAGAGGTCAGGTTCCAACTTGGAAGGCTGGACAGGTGAGAGGTTTATTTCTTAATTGACTTCCATTTGTACCTCATCTTTCTTCCCAATCAGGACTCAGAGTGGCTTACACTGTTCTGTTCTCCTGTCCTCCGTTTTATCCTCATGACAACCCTTTGAGACAGTTTAGGGTAGTGTGTGACTGACCCCAGGTCACCCAGCAAGCTCCTGTGGCAGGGTGAGGATTTGAACCTGGTTGTCTCCGATCCTAGTTGGACTCCGTAACCTAACCACTATACCACAAGGAAATGGGAATGGAAGGAGGTTGGTTTCAAAATGCCAGGATGGCCTGTGTGAGGGATTAACCCTGTCCAGTCGGAGTGAAGCTGATCCCTTTGGGAGGAGAAATTCAACCTTCCAGGACCTGTTACACCACTGGCCATGAACAGGTGCTGCAGCAGTGGTTCCTAACTGTCAGTCCACTGCTGCCCCCCTTCCAGGCATGCAACACTGCCATTCAATGCCTCCCCCAAGTCACAGGTACAAAATTAGGATAGAGAAACAACCCCGAGGTCTGTTGTCTAGGTCTGTCTATGGCCCATGCCTATGACCCACAGATCTTAGGCATCCATTCAATGAGACCCTTGTGAGTACATCAGCCAGCTCCTTAACGTGAGACTGGATTACTGTTTGCTGTGTGCCCTGCTCTCGACAGCCTGGGGCAGGGGAGAAGTCTGGGATTTTGTCCTTGGGGAGGGGTAGACCATGTAGAACTATTCTCTTTTCTTTTCTTTTTTAAGTACCCGAGGGTACACATTTATTGTTTTCTTATACTCCTAAACAAAGACATAAACAACTACAACAAACAACATATAAACCAAGAGACTTGTTACAGTTTGTTACTACACCTAATCCATCGCTTCATTATTCTCTAATAGTATTCTCTAGTTCCATTATTATATATTACTACATACTCAGATATTATTATTACCATATCGGCTTAGTCTTTGACTCCATTCACATTATACCAATCATATAGTCTTTTCCAGGTTTTTTGATATGTCCATTTCTTCGTGCCTCTCATTTCCATAGTCAATTTATCTACTCCCGCCGCTTCTAAAAGTTTATTAATATACAAGAC